CATATGTACATGACTTTATCTAGAGCTCTATAGATGCCCTTTGCCTCCCAGCTCTTTCCTCTATTTCCCTTGATTCTCCTCTTGTCCCACTATCATGCTCAGTCCCCACCAGGATTTCAGCACTTCCTCTTTGTTACGTTCCCCTTGATCCTGTAGGCTGGGCCCTTAAACCCAATCACCTGAGTTATACGAAGTCAAACAGAGATGAACACAGAAGAAAGACAGGTACCATGTGACAGTTGGTTTGTCAGCAGAAACTGGAAGAATGGTCCATCAGAGGAATTGATTCAGCCAGGATCTTGACTTGGACCTTTCACCTCCGGGGGAAAAGCACTGTTGTTTTGTTTTGCTTTTTGTTACAAAAGCACTAGGTAACTAAGAGAATGTTGAAAGTAAATATTAACAGCACAGGTCATGAGACTTAGTGTGGAACTAGTAGGTCACCAGATTAGGGACAAAGGGAGTTGTCTCCCCAGTGCCAGCAAAGGCCCAAAGAGGGGTTGGAAATAAATCAGGCAGCCATTGGACACCTATGGGAAAATACAGAACTGAGCATGCTCAAACACAAGCCTCCTAGGCCCAGGTAAAACTAACCTGGGCACACCCACCACACGTGGGCCTAAACTCAGCCAGTGGGGTTGGCCAATATCTTCAACCATGCCTTCCCAAACCGAGGGCAGGACAGAAGAGCCAGGCACGAAGCCTGGCACTCTTGGCACCTGCTGTTGCCTTATGGTCAGTCCCTCATTTACTCTGCTCTTGCTCAAGTGCATGCTGTAAGTGGAGGGACCCCTGCATACGGGCACACCTGTGCCTACGTGCCCCCTCAGGGCTTTCCAGAAATAGCGTATACCTTTTCGAGAGTAATACTTAAAACTTCCCATTCTTCCATAAAAACTCACTTGGATTACAAAAGTGCTTCTGCCACATAAATTCAGCGTGTGAAGCAAAAAACAGAGGTAACCTACTCCAAAACCTAACCTATCTACTCTGCGATCAATTAAACTATCTATCTTCAGGAGGCCCACCAGCCAGACCCGCCTCATGCTTTTGAGCTTATCGGAATTATTAAATAGCTGCAAAAGAATGAGGACTTTGAAAGTTAGTGTTCAAACAACTTGATTGAAACTTGCTTGTTTCTATGTACTGGGAGGGGCAAGGAGGTTCATCCTTTGGGGGTACTGGTTCTTCAACTGGACAGGACTCCTGAAGACTGCTCTTGTAGGAACCAATGCTATAATGCAAACACTAAAGAAGTGGCTCTCAACCTGGGGGTTGAACAACCCTTTCACAGGGGTCACCTAATACATCCTGCATATCAGATATTTACGATTCATAACAGTGCAAAATTACAGTGATGAGGTAGCAATGAAAATAATTTTATGGATGGGGGTCACCACACATGAGGAATGTACTAAAGGGTCACGGCCTTAGGAAGGTTGAGAACCACTGCACTAGAGCCTCTGGCACAGGCACAAACAGCCACTCCTGGGAAGCACCAGGAGTTCGGGGAATTGTGAGTTGTGGTTAGAATACAAGGAGGTACCCCCCAAAAAAATGATGCTCGTTTTTTGATGTGAGGGCGATAGTACATTTGGAGTTCGTTCCACCAGGTCAGACTATTAGTCATGCTTTCTATTTGGGTTTTGAAAAGATTGAGTAACTGTGCAATAAAAAGGCCTGATGTGTGCCAAAGGGGGGACTGGTTTTACTATAACAATACAGCTCCTCACTCAGCCATCTCAGAGCCCCAGTTTTTAGCAAAAAAACAACATGTCTCTCTTGCCCACGTACTTACTCACCTGACCTCACTCTGCGATTTCTTTGTTTCCATGAATGAAGAGGGACATGAAAGGACAGCAGTTTCACAATATAGAAGAGGCAACAGAAAAAGAAGGTACTGTTGGCTATCCAAATAGATGAATTTGCAAAATGTTTCTGTTAGACAGGGTTCTCTAGAGAGATAAAACCAAATTGCTGATAATTTATTTATTTATAAAGATAATTAGATATATAACACAAGAAATGAACTGTTAAATTATATACAGATAGATATATAATACAAGAAATGAACAGTTAAATTATAAAGCAGTACAAATGGCTCAGTGCAACTCACTCCCATGAGAGAGAGTTGTGAGACACTAGCAGTCCTTCAAGTCTAGTCTGCTGCCAGATCTTCCTCTATGTAATGAGAGAGCTAGGCTATCTCAGCACAGCAGCCAACTGCAAGCCAGGTCACCAACCGCCAGTCCCCAGCTCCAGAGATGTCTTAAAGGGACCTCAACTTACAGCGACACAGTCCACAAGCTAGGCATCCCACAGGTAGTGTAGCCTTTAAATTGAGGCACAGAACAAGCAAGGCAGTCACTTACTGGTCCGATGATCAAAGATCAAGAGACAAGAAAGGCGAGGCTCACCAAGAATGGAATCGCAGATTTGACAAATATATTAAGTATAATGGAGAGTACTTGGAAGGTGAAAAGGTTGTTTTGTGGGGGAAAAGAAAAGAAAAGAAAAGAAAAGAAAAGAAAAGAAACAAAAAAATTAACTACATAGCTCTGGGAAATAAAAATGTTTTTTGGGGGGTGTACCCCTTGTATACCACAACAGTTGTTGAGACTGGTTCTGCACAGAATGAGCAGATAACTGGTCTAGCAGAAATCATAGGTGATCTATGTAACACAACCTACATAACCCAAACCCCTATCAAGATCTATAAAATTATCGTCACATTAGTTTCCTCATGCCCTTTCTGACTCAGTTTCTGCCCCCACACCACCCCCAAAGCAACTGTTGTTCTGATTTTTCTACCTCATTTTACCTGTTCTAATACGGTCTATAAATGGAATCATATATGCTGCGATGAAAATTGTTTCCACATGCTTCTATGATTATCTACATTGCTGCATGTTCAAGGGGGCTTCAAAGTTTCTGGGAAAATTTCATTCTCCTTTAATTCCATTTTTCCAATAACTTTTTGTAGCCTCCTGATACAGTCCTTTCCTTTCTGTTGATTAGCAGTCTACTGTGTGAATATATCACAGTTTACTTCTCCAATTTCCTACTGATGATTTGGTGTCCAGTTGTGGCCTATTACGAATAAAGTTGCCGTACACATCTTTTTGTTTTCAATTTTCTTGCACTGCAGTAGAAATTCTGAGTCATAAGATCGGTATAAGTGTTTAATAGTATAAGAAATTACAACAGGCATTTTTTTTATAAGGACAGTGGGAACTACAAGTATAAAAGCAGGACCTGAGCCTGGTACACTGAGGACCAGCAAGGAGAGCCAGGTGACTGCAACAAGAAGGAAGAAAGGAAATGAGTGGAAGAGAGGGAAGAGTAGGGGTTCATCCTATCAGCCTTTGAAAACAACAGCAGGGAGTCTGCTGTGGCTGGAAGGTTTGAGCAGAGTGACATGATCTGCCTTACATTTTAATAGGAACACTCTGGGTGCTCAACAGGCCATGTTCAACTGCAGACCGGGCAGGACTGAGACAGGGAGATCCATGAGGAGGTGACTACTAATTAAGGCAAGAAAGGAGTGTTTGACCAAAGTGACAGCAATGATGGTGAGAAGCAGTCGAATTCTGAATAAATTCTGAAGGTATTGCCAACAGGGTTTACTAGTATGTTACATATGGCAGAGGAGTCAAAAAAGACTCCAAGATTTTCGGGTGAGCAATTGAACAAGATGGCAGTTGCCATTAGCAATGATGAGACAGACAGGAAAAGGTTTGGGAGGTGGAACTTTTACGTTTGAGATGCCTATTTTATATCAGGAAATATAATACACTTACTTAACAGTTTATGTGGCTTAGGGCTAAGTTTAATGTATACATAATTATGGATTATAGATCTATCCATAGCTGTGTGGTTTTAAATAATCATACAATGAGGATCTGGCTTGAGATCTGAATCTTTGTATTTACATAAGTAGAACACAGGCTGACTGAAGAAGAGATGCGTCAACAGGTTCAACTTCAGCTTACCGGCGTGGTGGACTTGGCACTTACTGAAGTTATCGTTACTGAGCATCCACATTTGCATGTCACTTTTTGATATTAAAATCCAGAAGTGTATCAGTACTACTACGAAACAGACTGGGCTCTTGACCTTTAATTCTATGAAAATGAGGCATTTCAACATCTCTGACAGTAAATTCTTCATGTATTACAATGAGCCAGTATATCAGATACTTTCCGGTGATTTCTGTTTTTAGTACTATTAAAAAAGACCCGAGAGTCAAACTTTGGTAAAGTATTTTTCCATCTTTATTTAGCTTTCTTCTAGGTAAGTGATCATAGTTTTAAATAATTTATAATTCTGCAATGATAAATCATATCAGAGCATGCACACACACAAAAAATTCAATTCTCCCATAAATGTTTTCTTTCCCCTTAGAATGTGTGCTGTCTTCCTTTATTTATTTTGAGTGTAATGTCAAAGTCTTATCACTTTCATCCTTTGTCCTACATGAATTAATTTTTTTAATCATTTTATTAAGGGCTCATACATAAATGTTCTTAAAGAGAGCTTCTGAATTAGCTTTGTGTTGGTTAGCAACCACTCCATAGCCAGTCGTTACCATATATACTCGTGTATACGCCAAGTTTTTTGGCACATTTTTTATGCAGTTTCTGTGGGAAAATTAGGTGCCTCGGCTGATTGTTGAGTCGGCTTATACTCTAGTATATATGGTACAGAAGATACTATTGAAAAGACTTTTAAGTGAGTTTTGATTAATCTTAATCTTTCCACGTAAAAGCTACCCTTAAAAAAAAAAGTGAGCCTCTAAGGGTTTTCTAACAAAGGAAGGTATTAAGTCTGCATCAATTAAGTAATGGGCTAATCACACTTATTTAAATACCCACCCAAAGGTTTTAAGGATCCTTAAATACTTTACACACCTTTGCCAATTATACCATTGCAAGTCGACAGAGGAAAGCACTCACAGGTAGCACATTAAAAATTCCATCCCTGGAGAGGGTCCAATTTTAAGTAGTGCACGTGCAGATCCTCATAGGTCCTCTATGAGCTACTTCACAAAGCAGTGCTGAAAAACTTGTAATGCAATTTTGAAAGGCCATAACCCCAACTTTCAAATACCCTCCCCCTGCCTTCCAGTGATTAAAAGGAAGTCGACATTCCTTTCCATTGTACAATGAAGTGGAGAAGAACTTAAGTACATGAGGGGTTACTGTCTGCCTGTCATTTATTCCCAGAATGACTTCCCTTTCACAGCTTCTTCTGTGGACATGCAACCTCTACACCACCTGCTACACTAAATTCTGTCGCCTAGTACTGTCTGGCCCCTGAGCTAGCAAGTGACGGCAGATTGTCTTGTCTCACTGCTGTACTCACTGAGCACAGGCTGTGGTACATGTTAAACGCTCAACAAATGCCTGCTGATCAATACGTGAACTACACAATGACTCCAGATATTTTACCCAAACATTACAATAAGTATTCCATTACTTAAAACAATATTGCTATTTTTCTGTTAATAATACCCCTCCCTGAATCCAGGGCGGATGAGCCCTACAGGACCAGTGGTGTGAGTGGCAAAACAGGGAGGGTAAAGGGAGAATGGGTAGAAAGAGGGAACCGATTACAAGGAACTGTGTGTGACCTCCTCCCTGGGGGACAGACAACCAAAAAGTGGGTGAAGGGAGACGTCGGACAGGGCAAGATATGACAAAATAACCATTTATAAACTATCAAGGGCTCATGAGGGAGGGGGGAGTGGGGAGGGAGGGGAAAAATGAGGACCTAATGTCGGGGGTTTAAGTGGAGAGAAAATGTTTTGAGAATGATGTACAAATGCACTTTACACAGTTGATGTGTGTATGGATTGCGATAACAGTTGTATGAGCCCCTAATAAAGTGTTTTAAAATAATAATAATAATAATAATAATACCCCTCCCTGATGGGAGAAAAGACAAACTAGTAGTCACAGCCCATATCGAACACCAATACACTCACTCTTATGTGCATGTATGTTCATGTACAGTGGTACAATGTGTGATTTCAGTACCCACTCCTCATATTCACCACTGTTACTACAGATTACACAAAAGTACTGAAAATGGCTTAGCACCAAATGCCAATTCCTAAGAAATATGCCTTATGAAATATCACTATTACTATCATAGTTAATAAAATCATTTTTTTATCTAAGCTTATCTCCACTTTCAAATCAGGCCTTTTTCTTGCTAGATTTATCTACTTTTTATTCCAATTTCCTTTTGAAACAGAAAAACAAGTCATAAAGCAATGTTTTCTCTACTTTAATACATACAGTTCTTCCTGATTTATGGTCTTAAAGGTTAAATTCGTTACAGTGACTTCTGTTGGAAATTGTATTTCCAGCTTCCAGGAACAATCTATAACAAAGAAACTAGACTTTCAGGAAGTGAAAACTAACATCTGGAATTTAAGAGAAAAATCACCCATATATAATGCTTTCCACCAACAAAATCAGAGGATGTTGTGTATTATCATATTCTGTATTTTGAAAGTGTATAAACTGTCACTAAGTAGTTAATTCTGTTTCTTCTTTACAGAAATAATGGTTCCAAGTACTTGAATTTTTTAATGAGGATTTCTTAATTAACAGTATTGGATTTGGTGTTCTTTTACCATCAAATTCTTTATGGCTTAGATAAGCAACCATTTAAACAACAGATCAATCACCAAGTATTAGTGCGAACTCTATCAATGATTCCAGGAAACACACATTCAAAACGGACTTGAGGGTGCTCAGGAGGAGCCTCCCACGAAACCCAACAAACCTGAAAAGATGCAATTGGACCTCAAAAGGGTCGGTTATTAGTTTATATTAAGCCAAGATTAGGAAAATCTTCCACTGTTGATATTTTCATGTTCTTAATTTTTCAATCACATAATCAACCTGTAATTTAAAAGAAAAAAAATCAATGCTAGTGCTGATAACCTTTATCAAATAATTCCACTGGCATCCCTATTACAATAAGCCACAAGAAAAGAGCTTAGTTACTCTATATTACATACTGACAGATTTTTACCTATCCACTTTGAATATTCACTTTTAAAATTCAGTTAAAACCAAACCAAACGCACTCTGACTCAGAACTGTCCCTGTGGATTTCTGAGGCTATAAATCCTTAAGGAAATAAGAAGCTTTACCTTTCTCCCTTGGAGCAGCTGGTGGTTTTGAACTGCTAACCTGGTGGCTAGCAGCTCACGGCATAGCCCATTATGCCACCAGAGTGCCTATTAAAGTCTTCCCTTTATATCAATTCAGAGAGCTTTTCCTCAATCATTTGATATAGTATGGAACATTATAAAGAGATTATGGAATAAATATCAATATGTTAATTTCTTTAAAGTTATACACTGACAAAGTCCAAGGTTTAAGAAGAGTTCAGATTCCCAGTATAAACCACTGGCAAAATCTTGTAATTTTGTTGTTTTTTTCCAATTTAAAAACATATTAGTCTTTTGTGTAAGACAACAGTTTAAAAACATTACAGAAATGTACCGTATATGTTCGAGTATAACCCAACCCGTATATCAGCTGAGGCATAAAAAATTTGCTGATACATCTTATGAAAAACATCACATCTTTAGCATTTTTTTTAATTTGAATTAGGTAGCACACTGGTTTTAGAGACCATACCATCTATTCTACAGAATTTCTCATTTTCAAGTAAATGTATATGTGTGCTCGCATACACATATATGCATATTAAGTATGTATGCAAATATATGTAAGCACATATATGTATGCAAATATATAACTGCTCAACAAATGCCTGCGGAATCACATGTACATATCTCTTAAAAAATGTGTGCGTATTCTTTTTCAGTTAAAGAAAAGCCAAGTTAAAAACAGGGATATGTCTAAAATATAATGTTTCTAGAAATCAGATGGTTTTTAGCTTCTTCTACCATATATAAGGAGCCCTGGTGGCACTGTCAGGTAAGCATTGGACTGCTAACTGGCAGATTTGAACTACCAACCTCTCAGAGGGCAAAAGATAAAAGCTTTCTTCTCCTGTAAGGGTTTACACTAGGGCATTTGGTTTGGGGTTACTATGAATAGAATATCATCGAGAATTAACTAATGGTAAAGAAATATAATTTGGTGGGTTCTGATATATAGCAACTATATATCCCGTCATCATCATGAGCGAAAAGGAGCCTTGTAAATTACTGGTCAAGAAGCCCTCCGAAGGCTTTGACTGTCAAACACAGGCCAGGTCTCTGCTGAATTCTATCCACTTTTGCCTCCGCAAAGCAAAATTCTCAATTGTATTGTACACACAACGCTTCAGTCTCAGATCTGGGAGCTGGTGTTACCAATACAGAACTTTACAACGGTGCTTAAGCTATCAGAAATCATGCACACTCCTCTTCTGCAATGCTGATGTGGGTGTTTGTTGTAAAAGCAGCAGGTAATATTCATTAAGCTCTTGCTATGTTTTGTATTAAATGTTATACAGGTAAATTATCTCATCCATCTCATTATCCTTATCATGCAGTATTATCAGCTAGATGAACATATCATACAAGGAACTTGAGCCTTAAAAATTATAATTAACTTGAACCTGGTTCCTCAAGTAAATAGTAGACCAGGAATTTAAATCTACATACAACTCCAAAGTCTCTATCACATCCCCTGCTTGCAACAGGAAGACATATCATAGCTCTTCTTCCCACCAATCTGATGGCCTGGAAAAGCCCACAAATTAAAAATCCTATCTGGATATATGCAAACGGTATGCTAAAATAGTTGATCAGTCTATAAATGCTCTAAGTACCTACTGTTGTCAAATAAAAATTAAACCAAAAAGGACATTTTACATATATTTGTATGCTGACACAACAATAACACTTACTGTTACAAACCAGTAGGAATTGACTCTATAAACCAATTTTGATATGAAGCCAAGCTGATTCACTGGTGCTAGAACATGAAGGTGTAAGTGGGAAATGGAACAGAATGGCGGCATATGGAAACCCATCCTAAAACAGAAAGGTTAATTTACATTGATATGTCTTCTAAAATTGTTCAAACCTATTTTTCATGCCAAACACACAAATGTTAAAGACGTTCAACAGTATTAACTTGCTTTATACACCAGATAGTCACAATTCTTCTTCCTTTCAAGGGAAGTTCACAGTAACTTCATCAAGAAAGAAAGCCTCACCAGCAGAGTGTGACTGTCAGTACAGTAATTCAGGAGTCTGGGTTGCCACTCTGTCACAGCGCTTCAGTTCTTATCATGTAAAGCTTTCATTCTTTTCAGATTAGGTTCCTACGATGAATCTTTAAATGACTGGACTAAATAGAAATGTTCATTCACTCCACGACGTGGCCAGTAGATGGTGCTCTTTCTCCCTACTGCTAATGAAGTGACCACACGTTTCCTTACCAACCAACAAGGGTTTCAGTAGGGAAATGAATTCTATGACCATAAAAAAGCTCTCATTATTGCATAAGTACCTGATTTAATACTTGAAATAAATGTTGTGCTAATTTCAATCATTAATTAAAATATTTAAAAGAGATTCACTTTAAATATTTAACATAAAAATATTATTTGAAATCTTAAAATCCAATTTACCAAGTTTGACAGTCCATTTACTGAGTGGCGCAAGAATACCTGTGCTTCTTCTAGCCAAAGCTTCTCAAATACCAGCTGCTCTTGGTCCTGAGCACCATTGGTTTGTTCCTAAGTTTTCAGAGGATTGTCATACCATCTGGGTTTATCCTCCATGAATACGGCTCTTCCAACCATAATCCCTTATGCGCTATACAATTCTGAATTTCATACGCCTGTGGCTGTGGTCCCATTTTGAAGTGCATTTATTTGCTAATAGGAATGGGATGCAATTGAGTTCTAACCTTAGAGGAGGGTGGGAATCGGACCACAATGTTTAATTGTCATTTTAGTCACTATTACTTACATTGGGTGTAAGAAATTACCATACATAGTTCAGCTGAGAGGAGAAAGACACTGTTTCTGGAGTGGCCTGGGGAAAGGCCTGGCTTATTAAGATCAGTAGGAGGCCAATACCTGCTGGAAGCATCTTGCCACAAGCCCCAGGTCATATGTGCATAAGCAAGATACAGTCCAGGGGTGGTGAGAAGATGATTATATTTGGGCGAAATCTGATTGCACCATGTAACGCCCACCAAAAGACCCTTTCCTGCATGGGGCTGGGGGGGCGGTGGAAGGTTCACTTGCAATCGTGAGCAGGGTCCCTGCACTGCCCTCCAGAAGCACACACAACTAATCCAATGAAAAGTAGCTGTGAGCTTGTCACTGGCAAGAGACAGGAGTGGAGGGTCACCTGTCCCCAGCATTTGGTTTACCCCTGCCTGACCAATGAACTTTGATTTAAACTGTACCCACCACCTCAAGAGACATTTCCTGGAATGCTCTGAGTTCTATGGGACACCTCGGTGGTTCAGAAAACCCAGAGCCGTAAGAGAACACACCGAAGGGAAGAGTGAGAGAAAGACGGAGCAGACTCTCACCTTCAAAGAACTGGACTCTGGGAACTTCTTCAATATCCAACTTCGTGGCACTAGTTTGCTAGTTCTCCTTATAAAAGACGTTACTAAGGCCATTTCATCGGAGCCTACTATTTGAGAGTTTAAATGACTTGCCTAACGTCACAGTCATGTAAGCGGCACAGAGAGCACTGGGATTCAGGATGTCTGTTTGCCAGAACGCTCCTTAGAGGCAAGGATGGTTAGATTTCATCTCATGTGCTTTGGACATGTCAGGAGAGACTAGTCCCTTGAGAAGGACATCATGCTTGGGAAACGTGGAGGGGCAGTGAAGAAGAGGAAAGCTCTCAACAAGATGGACTGCTACAGCGGCTGCAACAACAGGCTCAGGCATTCGAATAACTGAGGCTGAAGCAGGATCGCGCAGTGTTTCATTCGTTATACATGAGGTAGCCATCGGCGCCTCACAACAACAGTTTGCTGGAAGTAACCTCCATAGACTGTACTGCCTTCGTCACTTAAGGCAAAGTCAGCTATCTTTTAAACAGAAGAACATGCTTCCATTAATTCAAACAGCTGACAAATTGAACATGATGTGCTTTTGCATAAAGCTGACAATCATCAATTCAGCAGATAATGACCCCGAGTTAATGTCATGCTAGACATCTGAGAATGTACTTACAATCATGTTTTTCTTAGAAAATTCAATTTACACAGTTTTATAAGAATGCAAGCAAAAATAAATAATTTTTTTAAAGTGCATGCAAGGTGTATTGTTAACTAGCTTTACCCTGGTTGGGCCAGTGCTGAAGTGCTGGGCTGCTGATAGACAGGTGAGCAGTTCTAACGACTGCCCACTCTGTAGGAGAAAGATGCGGCACTCTGCTTCTAGAAAGACATATAGCCTGGACACCCTACGGAACAATCGTACTCTGTCCCACTGATTGCTGCGCGGCAGACCAACTGGACGGCACAGGACACACCCAGTGAATGAGGAGCCCTGCTGGTGCAGAGGCTAAGCACTCAGCTAATTGAAAGGCCGGGAGTTCAAATCCACCAGTTGCCCTGAAGGAGACCGGTGTGACAGTCGGTGAGTCCATGCCCACTCGTTGTAACAACCACACAGTAGCTCTGAGGCTATCAATCTTTATGGCAGCAGACGGCCTCATTTTCCTCCAGCTGAGCATTGGTGTGACTGAACACCCACTTTGCAACTAAAAGCCAGCACCTAGCCCACAGGGCCAGAGGACAGCAAGGAAAGTCACGGGCGGTTCAAGCAGTCCTACAGGATGACGCTACCTGATGGCACACAGCACCCACTGCGTATGCCTGTCTGCCTCAGCGGTCAGTGAAGATGATCCAACGATGTGAACACATAGGAACGAAATTTAATTTATTAAATTTATACTACAAATGAATTAATTTTCACCTTCAGGAAAACTGTTTAAACCAGGAACTCTGTCACCTTTCCTTGCACTCTCCAATTAAGAAATAAAGTGTCATAAAAACGAGTCATGTACAAAAGATTTCTATCTGAAGGTATACATACCTTGCATTTTTTAAGTCAGTGAAATTATTCCTTTCCAGGATGGCTTTTCCAACAGCTACCATGTTCTCAACTGCAAAACAGGAAAGAAACTGCAGTTACCATTTACACTAGAGGAGATACTGGGAGACACAAGCCCTCACTGCCATCACGTTGATGCCTACTCAGAGCGGCACCTGGGGCAGCGCAGGACTGTGGTTTCTGAAACCAACTCTTGTCGAGAGTACACAGCCTCATCTTGCTCCCACAGAACAGATAATGGTTCTAACTGGCTTACCTGGAGGCTAGCACCCCAATGCTTAAGTTCACTAACTTACAACTAATCTTAATTTGTAGGGTCCTAATGAAACATCATATAAAATAGTTAAACATTTAAGTACACATTCAATAGCCTAAATTACTGCAAGGACTGCTTATCAACATCTAAAACAAAGGTTCAAATTCAGCCAACATTGCAAAATCACAGTCATAAAATGTCACATTTGGACAGCTGTTAGGGACTCTCTACACTTGACTCTACTGAGTGCTAATTCTGATCATAAGCTAGTCAAGTAAATAAAGACAGAGTGAATGACAGGAACGCTACGCTTTGCATTCATTTTTGAGTTCAAAGTAGGGATGTGCTATCGCTTCAAGTGCGCCAGCCTTGATTAGCCATATATCTGTTGCAAACTACATATGCCTTAGCATCTTTTTTGTCTCAGGGCTTTGTGTCTTTTGGACAGAATAAGCCTCCCCGATGGAAAAATCTTGGTAACATAGCATCTTCAGTCCAGATCTTAAGTCCTTTATTTTTGAATGGGGTGATCATGTGTTGAAACATAGAGAGGATCATTGTTACATTAGTCATATAAATCACAGCTACTGTTTATTTCTCCACATCAGTCTGGAGTCAGGAGACGCCATTTAATAAGCCAATACCATTTGGCTAACAAAAACCTCTCAACTTACTGCAAGTCAGACTATAATACAGATTGTTTTCTTTTTTAAAAACTCCCGAGATCAAAAATATGAAGTAGAAATGACTAGCTTTATCTTCCTTTTTTTAAAAAAAAAAGAAAGGGCAAATGACTATTTAAAGCAAAAGTCAAAAGACTGCTAAGGACTTACATAGTAGGTAAGTAAAAGTAGTATGAACTTTACTGCAAAGTATCTTATATTTTACACTAGTTGGTACAATATTAACTCTAAGTAGATCTTGAAAATTGAGATGCTTACTATAATCACTCCAGAGCAACCACAAAACTGAAAAATGTGAAAAGTAGCTAAAATTGCAATATATAAGTCAAAATAGAATACTATGATTTGATTAACCACAAAAAGGCAGTAAAGAAACAAAGCAACAAAAAGCATATGGAACCAATTGAAAACAAATAGCAAGATGATAAAAATAAGTCCAACTATATCAATACTTTTATTAAGAAAGAGCGATGCCCAACAATATGCTGCCTCAAATCTTTACATATAAACATCAGTTTGACTGAAAGTAAAAGGGCACCATGTGTGTCTTTGGTACCACAAGAGACGTGCAATGCAAAAAGCAAGCAGTGAGAAAACTGGAATAGGAAATTGGCATCACACATAACAGACTCCAGAAGTACTTGCAGGTAGAGAGACATTTCACATTGGAAAGAAGCGAGCTGATTCACTGAGTAACGTAACAATTATTTACTGCATGGCAAACTCAAGATACATGATCCCAAAACTCCTATTATGTTGGCATCTACTCTTTATTATTTCCACTTCTTATTTTTATCTGATCTGCTTGTCTCTTTCTAGTGTAAGTGTAATCTTAGGTCATTAGCTTTAAATATCCCTTTTATGGCTTTTAAAGCTGTACTTTTCTCTCTAAGCATTGTTCAGCTGCATCTCACAAACTTTGATATGCTGTATTTTATTACCATTAACTCAAAGTAATGTTTAATTACCCTGACAATTTATTCCTTGACCAATGTACTTATAAATAATGCAGACTTGTGGTTAACTTTAAAGTATTTACAACCACTCTTGGTGCACTGATTAACTGGCAGGTTGGTGGTTCAAATCCATCGACTACTCCATGTCAGAAAGCTATGGGGAAAATAGAGAGAGAAATGGCAGTCTGCTTTCCCAAGGACGTATAACTTCAGAAATTCCACAGGGCAGTTAGATTCTGTCCTACAGGATCTCTGAGTGGAAACTGACTCTACAGCAATGGGTTAAGTTTAAAGGCTGCTATTTTTCAAAGTCAATTCCAATATCATTGGAGAACTTATTCTATAAAATTTCAGACATTTAAAATTTATTAAGTTTTATTTGTTGTCCAAAATATTGTCCCTCAATGTGAAAATCCCTGGCTCTTAAATGAAGCTCTGCAAAGGTCACTCCGGTCACTGTGGTTGATAATGTTAATGAACTTACTCATATCCTTATGATTTTTCCCATATAGTATACCATATAAAAATTATAGGTATAATACAATCACAAATTATATTATTTAAATTATTATTTACTTTAAAACTATTCACATTTAATTAGCAACAGTTAAAACAAAAAAATAATTACAACAGCCTCTATTCTCCATAAACCTATCTCTAATTTAAAGATAATATAAGACTTCCTAAGAAGTCAAAGGATAATCTCTAAAAAATAACTACAAAAAAGAAAACAGAATTATTTTTAAAAGAGAAAATACCAGAGGATTGCAATCACAGGTAAATTTAAATTGGACCCAATTTTTCTAAGTTCAAAAGCTGCCTTCATGTTGTAAATCAAATATGCCCTAAAATGTACTGATTGAATTTCTGATGACCAAGGAGTTTCACAGTAACCAGAAGCAATGGTAGAGCTGACCATTCAGTTGCCAACAGTGATAAACTACACATCCATGCTTTACATTAAAAAAGGTTATCTTCTCCTCCCTCCCTGCTCATGAGGACCTGGTGCCTGGGGCTTAAGTGGAGAGCAAATGTTTTGAAAATGATGAGGGCAATGAATGTACAAATGTGCTTAACACAATTGACGTATGTATGGATTGTAGTAAGAGTTGTGTAAGCCCCTAATAAAACGATTAAAAAAAAAAAAATAGGTCATCTTATTTTTAGTCCAAAAAAAACCTGTCCCCGGTCAATCTACGTTCTAGGCTGATTTGGAGCCCTGTCCGCACAAAAAGCACTGCCCCTGGTAAAAGTCACTAAAGTAGACTTGAGACTGTGTTGTCCTAATCACGTAATAGTCGCTACTTGTTCTCTAGGTTCAATACCATTGCGATGCACACACAAACTCACAGACAAATTCTTTTTTTTTCTATGAATCATTTTATTGGGGGCTCTTACAGCTCTTACAATAATCCATACATCAATTATATCAAACACTTTTGTACATGTGTTGCCATCATTATTTTCAGAACATTTTCTTTCTCCTTGAGCCCTTGGTATCAGCTCCTCTTTTTTTCCCTTCCTGCCCCCCCATCTCAAAATTCTTGATTAAAGGGTTTACTAAGGAAATTAAGAACTTTTAATGCCAGTGAGAAATGCTCAGGGTGGATCTATCAGGACAAGTTACAAAGTCTTTCGGGTCTGCTAATAAATGTCCAAAGGGGTTTATCATTCCACTGGGAGCCTCAACTTGAAGGCTAAAACTATGTGGGTCAGCAAACCCCACTCCCTGAGTTAGGTGCCCAGAGGCACCCCACTCCGCGGGCCAGCCTCCTACACAGAAGCATTCAGCTGTATTTGCCCCCCGGGTTGGGAAGTTCACACTCCGCTCCACGCAATAGTTCCTTCTGCCACTGCTCCTCTGAGAGTATGGCTGTCTTTAAGGTAGAGCCTGTCAACTAGTTTTTGTTTTTCATTGTTGCAAATTAAATGTAAATAAATTAAAAGTGAGCAATAATTTTAAATAATATATTTTGTGATTGTATTATACTTATAATTTGGATTTGCTTCAGAATAATCCAGTATGGTAAAAGGTTGACATGTAAGGTTGTTCACGAATTAATAAATGTTAAAGTTGGATAATTAATACATATGGATTATATTTTTTAATTACTATTATTTGAATCTTTTCACAATAAAAGTTTTAAAGTCATTTTCCTTCTTCATAATTACAAACTTTGCTTTAAAAAAATCTTCACTGCACTCACTATGTCAATTCCAGATAAGCTACCCTTGAAGAACGCCGCCATCCTTACCCAGTTCTAGGTGAGCCTTCTCTAGGTCTTTGCAGTTTCCGATATGCTTCTTTGGCACCACAAGATAATGATGAGGTGCTGCTGGTTTGATATCTTTGAAGCAAACTAGGTCTTCATTCTAAGTGGGGGGAAAGAGCATTTGGTATTCATTGAATTTTCAGAAGAATTTCCTGGTGGTGTTCGGTCTGGCATGACGTACACACCACAAATCCCAGTCTGGTAGGGAATGGTTTATATTTTACACGGAGTTCCAATGGGACAATGGTTAATGTGTTTGGCTGCTAACCAAAAGTCCCCCAGCTCGAGCCCATGAGCCACTCGGAGGGAGAAAAGGCCTGGTACTGGGATCCCATAAAGATTACAGCCGAGGATGCCCTTCAGGGCAGCTCCACTCTTGCCCTCTAGGGTTTTGACTCAATGGGAAACAACAACTTAAGTTTTACCTAAGCACCACTACTTTGTGAGTATTGTCTTTAAAGACAAGCTTTAGCTTCCTTGATCGACTCATTTATTCCAAAAAGTAAAAAGACATTCCAAAGTTCATTTCAAATAAAGTTAATGGGTTGAAGTTCACTAAAACTTTTCATTATCCATAATCAATTTTATTTGTCTCTTTATCCCTAACGTTTTTTTTTTCACTCTAAGCATATACTTTTAAGGGTTTGACTGCAGAAATATAACAAGACTCATATTATTTTACATTCAACTTTTTTCCAAATTGACTTGTACCTCATAGTAACAAGATCATCTCGCATATACTGATCTACGGGTGACATATTAAACAGATGAAGAATTATAGAGATACTACTCTTCTGTGTGGCTGCTTACCACTTGGTAGCATTTAAAAGCCTTCTAAGTGCTAACAGACTCCAGAATATTATAGTGTTAAGTGCCCAATGCATTAGATGGAGGATGCCAGCTTACTATCTTACATGACTCCAATTCCAGTCAATATAGTAACTCTTTGAGGGGTGAGGGGGGCTACTGATAGAGGCATAAGGAGTCCAAAACTGTCAATTTCCAGTTCCATGTCTTGCCTTGTGAAGATAATCCTAGCCAGAATCTTGGAAGTCACCCTTGACTGCTCCCTGCTTTCTTCCTCATTCTGTTACATTCGTTTTTGTTAAGTGCCATCGGATTCTATTCAAAGCATTGTGACCCCATACGCATTAGAAAGAAATACTACTTGGTCCTACTCCATCCTCACAAGTGTTGCTGTGTGTGAGCCCATTGTTTCAACTACAATGCCAACCCATCTATCTCTTTGAGAGTCTTCCTTTTTATCACAGACACTCTACTAAGCATGCTATCCTTCTCCAGAGACGGTCCCTCTGACAAGATGTCCAGAGGACGTGAGACCAAGTCAGCAGCCTTGCTTCTAAGGAGCAGTCTGGATCTACTTCTCCCAAGACATATGTGCTCATTCACCTGGCAGACCAGGGCATATTCCTTGTTCTCTGCCTACACCACAATGCAAATGCACCCATCCTCTTCAGTCTTCCAAATTAATGGCCCAGCTTTTGCATGCACGAGGCCAATGAAAATTGACTTGGGTAGTAGACACCTTGGTCCTGAAAGTGACATCTCTGCTTTTGAATACTTCAAAGAGAACTTTCGCAAGCAATTTGCCCAGTGCAATACTTCATTTGATTCTTGACCACTGCTTCATGAGCCTTGATGTCGTTGACAACTACAATCTTTTCCCTGTTGATCATGATGTTGGGTTGTCTTTATAATGAGATGTAATCCATACTGAAGGCTGTATGAAGTCTCTGATTTTCATCAGTGCTTCAACTCCTCTGTTTTTAGCAAGTAAGGTTGTTTAATCCATGTATCACTATTTGTTAATGAGATTTACATTCTTTGCCATGACTTTTCCATGATTCTAATGATACGCACACTCAAGTATCTTTGCATGATCACTGAAATACAGGTAAACATCACCAATACCTTCACTGCAGTTTGAACTTCTTTCAATACTATTGATTATTTAGAATATGCTATGGTTAAAAATCAATCAATTATTTTTGTTACCATAACTCTGTATAATCTTTCCACCTTCTTTTGATGCTTCTTTGTCGCTCAATAGTTTTTCCACAGAACCCTTCAACATTACAACTCAAGGACTAAAGTTTTCTTTAGTTCTTTCAGCTAGAGAAATGCCAATCATATTCTTCTCTTTTGGTTTTCTGACCCCAGAACTTTGCACATTTTAAATAAATAGTAACTGCAACTAATGTATCCATTCACCGTACTCATTTAATCTGTATACTGAGCAAGTAATTCCAGAAGCTGGACTATTGAAGGAACTGGCAGCCAGAGGAAGGTTTATTGATCTGCAATATGCAGAAGGCACAACCTTACTTGCTAAAAGCGAGGACTTACCGCACTCGATGAAAATCAGAGCCTGCAGCCTTCAGTGCGGACTGCAACTCAATGTACAGAAAACAAGAGTATTCACACTGGCCCAGTAGGTAGCATCACAATAAATGGGGGTGGGGGGGTGGGGGGAATGGAAGTTGACAAGGATTTCATTTTGTTTGGATCCACAGTCAATGCTCTTGGGAGCAACAGTCAAGAAATCAAACGATATGCTGTATTGTACTGGGTGAATCTGCTGCACACTTCTTTCAGTGCTGAAGAGCAAGGATGTGACTTCGAGGACTGACGTGTGCCTGTATGTGAGAGCTGGACAATGAATAAGGAAGTCCACAGAAGAACCGATGCACTTGAATTATAAGAATATTGCAAGTACCACGGACAGCCAGAAGAACAAACATATGTGTCTCAGAAGACATACAGTCAGAATGCTCTTCCTTAGAAGCACAGGTGTGAGGCTTTGTCTGTACTGGGCATGTTTGAAGTACTGGGCATGCTATCCAGAGACCAGTCCCTAGCAAGGGACAGTGTGCTTGATAAAGGTCTAGAGCCAGGGGCCCTCAAACTTTTTTACAGGGGGCCAGTTCACTGTCCCTCAGACCCATTGGAGGGCCGGACTATAGTCTAAAAAGCAACTATGAACAAATTCCTATGCACACTGCACATATCTTACTTTGAAGTAAAAACCCAAACGGGGCAAAAACACCCGGCGGGCCACATGTGGCCCGCTAGCTGTAGTTTGAAGACACCTGGGACAATCAGTAAAAATGTAGAAGTTTCTCCCTCAGATGGACTGACACAGTGACTTCAACAACAGGCTCGAATATAGCCATTTGTGAAGGTGGTGCAGGGCCAGGCAATGTGTGCTTCTGTTGTACACAGGGTGGCTTTGATTTGGAATCAATTCCACAGCACTCAAAATAACAACACGGCCGAGGCAATCTTTGGAGCTAAATCAAAAGATGTTTTTAAAAGGTGTCTTTAAAGACAAGTGAAACCAGAAGAACTGGGTTGTTTTCTTCAAAGTTCAAAATGTCACAATTGTAGAATTGCAACACTCAGTGGATACTAGTTGGGCCTGAGACCCACTCCTCCCGGCCTCGGGCAATCTAATTCTCCTTTTACCCTAACCATTATTAGGTATTCACTCGTTTTCTCCAAAACACCAATCTTAGAGGATGCAGTATTGCAGAATGGTGTCTCAGGAAGGTGGGAGCATAGGTCAACGAATGCTATTTCCTCCAAGCCCTTCCTTCGGGGCAAACCCCAGCAGAGCAAGGCCCAGGCAGTTTGGCTCCGCAGCTGCGAGGTACGTGACCGACGCGTAGTAGAAAGAGCTCTGCCCCCTGCCGTGCACCCGGGGACACCTGCAGAAAGCCGCAGGCCCAGCTTCTGCCCTCGCTGCTCCCACGGAGCTCCGAAGGCGACCCGCTCCCCGCCCACACCGCGAGGACGCCCTCCCGACGCTCCAGGGGGGAGCCCGGACCCTCCCCGCCCATCCACACCGCCCAGGCCCTCCTCCCGGACCCGTCCCCGGCTCACGCACGGCCCTCAGGGGCCCCGAAGAGCGGCCGCGATCGCAGCCCACCTCGCAGGGCAGAAGTTCAGTGCTCGGTTCCTGCCCCCGCGCGATGCGGCAGAACACGCACTTGCTGTCGCAGTCCGCGGGCGCCGGGGACTCTGCAGCGACCGCTGACGGCCGCGTCGGGGACCTCGTCGGCTTGTCGGCCGCCGCTGTCTCCCGGGTGAGGTCCGGCTGGGTAGCGTGGCGACTCGGTTCCTCCGCCATGACCGTCGGGACACCGCCGAGAGCCCGCCTCCCGCACCGCCCACCTTCCGCACCGCCCACCTTTCACCTCGAGGCGTCGCCCATCGCCAGTTGCTGGACTGGAGTCCTTGGGCGCATGCGCTGTTCCCGGCCGCGCGGAGAGGGAGGACGACGTGGGGTTAGGCCACCAGGCCAGTGGGCGCTAGGGGGCGCAGCTGGGCGGAATCAGCCGCGCCAGGCGAAATCCAGGATTGAACGCACAAGCGCGCCGTGACGTAAAACGCGCCGCGCGTTCTGATAACGTCACCAATGGCTCACTGGCGCCGGTATGAGTCGAATCTGTTGAGCGTTTCCAACGCCCTCTTAAAATATTCCGCAATTTGAAATTCCAAATGCCCCAATAGAATACACTTTCGTATTAAAGCGGAAATATTTTTAAATGTGTTCCTAAAATTAAGAGAATGAACAACGTATAGAGTTGTTGAGTGCTTTGTGTGCATTTTCTGGCTTAAGGACAGGGCAAGATATAACAAAATAATTTATAAATTATCAAGGGCTCATGAGGGAGGGAGGAGCGGGGAGGGAGGAAGGGACAATTGAGGATCTTATGTCGGGGGGGCTTAAGTGGAGAGGAAATGTTTTGAGAATGATGAGGGCAATGAATGTACAAATGCGCTTTACACAATTGATGTATGTATGGATTGCGATAAGAGTTGAATGAGCCCCTAATAAAATGATTTAAAAAATAATAAAAAAAGAAACACGTCCAAAACTGAACTTCACATCTTACTCTTGATTCTTTTGCATTAATGGCATCAGCTATTTAAGAATAGCGGCCTCACTTATCTCACATTCTTTTTACAAAGATTACAGTCTGAAATATTCCAGAAAGTCATTGTTGATGCCTCATGACTAATGCAATAAACTAGATTTCCTCATTTTCCTATCACTCCTACCAAAACCCATCAGTAACCTGTGCCTACAGAGAAAATACTCAATCCTTAGCTTGGTATTCATTCTAAATTAAAATTTTCATAACACTTGGTACTTGCTGAGTACCTCAAGTGTGCCTTGTACTTCTCTCATTGTCCAAACAATTCATAAGGTTAGTGTTATAATCTTTACTACACGATGCTAAACTTTTACTGGATATATTGCAAATACTTTATGCCATACTGCTGCCTAGTGCGTTAGCAGTGGGCTGTTACCCCTCAGTTGCCCCTTCTCTGCAGACAGATGAGATTTTCTGTTAAAGATTTACCACCTCAGTAACTCAAAGGGGAAATTCTGCTCTGTCCTATAGGGCAGTGGTTCTCAACCTGTGTGTCGAGACCCCTTTGGGGGGGGTGGGGTGTCAAATGACTCTTTCACAGGGGTTGCCGAAGACCATTGGAAAACATATTTCTGATGGTCTTAGGAACCTAGCCATCTCTCCTCTATCTTAACCTTCACACTGATGTTAGCTTTTTATGCATACTGTCGCAAAATGTTGCAATGTAGTTTACTGTTGTTATATTAAGACTGTTTCCCATGCTACACCATGCTTCAAGACAAAATTTCATTTATCTGTAATTAGAAATAAATATTTCACAGTATATAATTACATATTGTTTTGTGATTCATCACTATGCTTTAATTATGTTCAATTTGTAACAATGAAAATACATCCTACATATCAGATATTTACATTACGATTCATAACTGTAGCAAAATTACAGTTATGAAGTAGCAATGAAATAATGTTATGGTTGGGGTCACCACAACATGAGGAACAGTATGAAAGGGTCACAGCATGAGGAAGGTGGAGAACCACTGCCTAGGGTATATATGAATTGGAATTGACTCCGTGGCAGTGAGATTTCAGTTATTCTGTTGCCTAACACAAAACTGATTATTGATAATGTCAAAGTTCAGATAAATATTTGTCTAAGTACAGAGCCCACCAGTCTATTAATTTGAATTAGCTTATTATATCCTTGTTCTATATGGCAGCAGCAGTCAAGAGATGAAATGACATATTGCATTGGATAAATCTGCCCAAGACCTCTTTAAAGTGTTGAAGAGCGAGGATATTATTTTGAGGACTAAGGCATGCCTGACCCAAGCCATAGTATTTTCAATGACCTTACATGCTTGTGAAAGTTGAACACTGAATAGGGAAGACCAGAGAAAAATTGATGTGTTTGAACTATGGTGTTGGCAAAGAATATTGAAAATACCAAAGACTACCAAAAAAACAAACAGATCTGTCATGGAAGAAGTACAGCCAGAGTGCTCCTTAGAAGCAAGGTGAGACTTTGTCTCTTGTACTATGGACATGTCAGGAAAGACCAATTCTTGGCAGAGAATATCATGTTTGGTAACGTAGAGGGGTCGCAAAGGAGAGAAAGGCCTTCCAGGAGATGGATTGACACTGTGGCTGCAACAGTGGGCTCAAGCACGGGAACAATTGTGAGGATGGTCTATTTTGTATTCGGTCTATTATGTACAGGGTTGCTGTGGTTTGGAACCAATTGGATGGCACCTAACAACAACAGCAAGAGAATCCTTAGTCTTTTTTGACATAGAAAATACATAATAATAACAAATCCTATTGTGAACTCAATAGCCTTTTAAGTTAAAATTCTATTTCTTAATCACTCTCATTGCATTAGATAGGTGTTATATGTAGAATGATACATCAAGCTATATCACCGTAATTACAAATCCCAGTACTGTTATGTATCGAGAGCAAACATTTACTAACAGCCAACTTTGAACACCAACTGTACTTAAGGAACACCTGTCACACCTTGTCTGTTTTCTCCATCACTCATTGATTTATTGCTGCCCTTTGCAATAAAATTCCTGGAAATTGCTGTTCATTCTCTTAACAGTTGTTCTCCCCCCATTCTTTCTCACGTTGCCTCCAATCAGCCTTCTGCTTTCATCATTGCCGCTGCTTATTGTCAGGGTCACAGTGGCCTCCCTGCTGCCAAATCACATGGTCACTTCTCAATCATCTTATCAGAGACAGCTGATCATTCCCTTCTTGGTAATATGTTTCCAGTATACTTTCTTAGTTTTTCTCCTATCCAGTCGAGTGTTCCTTTTCAGTTTTCTTTGCTGCTTCATTTTCTTCTTCCAAATCTCTCATCATTAGAGGGCTTTGATTCTGGATTCTCTTCTCATTAGCGACATCCACTTTCTTTGTGATCTCATTCGGTCCATGTTTTAAACCCCATGTATGAGTGAATTCTGTTGACTCACAAATCTATATTTCTAGTAGAGACGTCTTCCATGGCTCCCAGAGTTGAGTGTATAACTGCCCGCTCCATCATCGGGTATAAATATCCAACAGAATCCACAAACACGCGTAAGACTGAGCTCTTTTGGAAAGAGTTATTCCTCCCCTCAAATCTACTACCATCCCAGTTGAGGGAAACTTTATTTTGCCAGTTGTTGAGGCTAAAAACATTGAAATCACACTTTATAGTCACTCCGTTTGGGGTTTCTTCGTATTACATACAAAATCTAAAAATGTTATCACTGCTATCTATCACTCTTGCCGAGCCACCATAAGTTTTCACATTATTTTAAAAGCATCTTGAGCTTCCCACTTCTAATAATCCCTGTTACGGCTGAGCTTCCAGTGCCCAGAGTGATCCTTTTAACATGAAGTCTGATCATGTCATTCCTCTATTCAAATACCTCCAACCGTGCCTGTCCCACTGAGAGAAAATGCTAGTCGTGACTTATAAGGGTCTGTCAAATGCTACCTCATACTCATAGGTCCTGCCCAACCCATTACATGATGTCACCAATTGCCTCCAGTATTTTTGTGGCTTCCTCTGCTCCAGTCACGCTGGACTCCTTGCTGTAACTGCACCAGCTGGAATGTTTTCATGTTCAAGCCAGTGCACGCTGGCTCTTCTGCCTGGAATATGCGTCTCACTCCTGTTCTCACTACTCATTGCTCTTTTCTCCAAGTCTTTGCTCAAATGTTTCTTGCTTTATTAAATCTACTCTGACTACTCTTAGACCCTTCATTCACACACACACACACACACACACACACACACACACACACTAACGCACCCATCCTCTTTACCCAACTCTATACTACCACTGTATGTGTTTACTTCTTGCTCACATTCATGTCCATTGCATGCAGCCTGTGGCTTTGTAGACCTCCTCCATGACTCAGGCTGAGGGAGCAGCCCCTGTCTGGGACACTGTTGGTCTTATGCCAATAAAGATACAAGTCCTTGGTAGCTGAGATGTGGCTTTCTTTACATAACATCATATCTAGTATCTGCTCCCCACTCTGTGATAGGAAAACATTGTGTGAATTAGTGGGTGGATAGAAACTACAAATCAGGAAATGAGAGTCAAATCCCTATTTTCTTACTGGTTCCACTGATGGCGTGACTGCTGCTGTTCTCATTCCAAGCTCAGCTTCTCTGTTTGTGGGTTTTCATTTTTCTTGATACCAGGAAATGGATAATTCTCCTTTAATTTGCTGCTTCATAGACCGGTTAAGTAATATCTTTTTTCCCTAGGCAGAGTTGTTCCTGGACGGTTGCCACAAACCTCAGAAGCTGCCCTTTGATCAGAGGCCCAACACTACTGGCAATGAAAGTCCTTCTCAAGAGCATCCCAGGGCATCTTCCCTTAGCCAGAGGCTACTAGCCAGGTGGTCTGAGATGGGCACTGTGGACCCTTCTAGTACAAAGGGCTGGGTCATAAAAGGACATGTCGTAACTGGCCACCATGTCAGGGAAGAAAATGTGATCTAAAGTCAAGTATTTTAACTCAAACTAGTACCAAAAACAGGAGCCTTGGTGAGGGAGTGGTTATAAGTGGGCCTGCCAACTGCAAGCTCTGCTGTTTGAATCCCCCAGCTGCCAATCAGGAGAAAGAGGGGGCTTGCTACTCCAAGAAGGAGTTACCGTCTTTGAAACCCACGGGGAAAATGAGGACCTAATACCGGGGGTTTAAGTAGAGAGAAAATGTTTTGAGAATGATGAGGGCAATGAATGTACAAATGCGC